TTTTTTGAGCTTTACCCTCTTTACTCATTTTGTAATTGCAATTTTTCGTGCAATGGGCCAATAAATTTTCCCTACGTACTAGTACACACCTTTAATACCATTTGATACCGTGATACCAATGTAGAGGCAAATCGACATTCCAAATTTAAAAGAAAATGCAATGGCCACGACTTCTGCTAGATAAGTGCCTGATTTTTAATTACCTATAACAAAACCAACTTAAAATGGGTTGTGAAGTCATGCAGGCTTCATGGGGAGTTTTTTTTATTTATTTTATTTAAACAAGCTTCTATTTAAAAATTGCTTTGAAAACACTTTTCTGCACTTCAAAGATGCATTTTCCCATTCAGGACAAATAAAATGAAGTCCGGAATTTTATATTATCATTTTCATATACAGCGGAACGTGTAATGTAAAATGCAGAGCAAACCAGTTCACACTTTTTTGCGGCCTTTGCCCTTAAAAAGTTGGAAATAAGTAATAAAAATTTACAACTACATAGTAGACTGCAGGGTAGTTAAAAGTTAGATACAAACTAGCTTAATTTCCTGCAAGGTATATATGTACATACATACATATGTGCGTTTGCCTATCTACATATGTACCATATGTATGCATGTACATATGTAGGTAATCGCATATCTAACCAAATACGGCATTCACAGCTCGCAATCAAATGCCACTTGTAATAGCAATAAATATGCAAATATGCCATTCTCCACCGATGTGCTTATGTATGTATGTACATATATATGTACATATGTAAATTAGTAAATTATGGGTGGCATGCTCTTAAATACGAGTACACATAGTGGTGTGTGTGTGCGTGCAGTTTTATAGGTCCGTTGCACACGGCCATGGTCAGCCGATTTTAAAAAAGTAGCTTAACCGGCAATGGAACATGGAATGGAATGAGAAGAAGGTAAGCGGCTAGGTGTGCGTGGATTGTAGCCACTTTGTGTAACACCGTTGCAACAAAGTAGTTATGGGCATGCAACACTACACACAACAGCAAAACACAACAATATACGTATGCACATACATACGTAAGTAATAACAGCAGGAACAGCTACATAAGTGTTACTACTCCTACAAAAGAGCAACCTATTAAATACAACTCGCAACCTCAAAACCCCACTCGACGCTTGTTCACGTCCTATTAATGCAAGAATAAGCTAAGATATTTGTTTCCCCCAGATAAATACTAGCACTTCTTACGACTTGTATGCAAGCGAATACTTGCAACAAAATGTTGCACACTTGCTGTGGCGTCGTCACCAGGCAGTGATGCATATCTGCGGCCGTATGCTCGCCAGCAAGTGAATGGGTGCGCTGTCTGTCAGCTACGGTGCGAGGCCTTGCCTGCTTCGACATGCTGTATGGATGAGTGAATGCGAATATTCGTATTAACAAGTAATTTTTAAGCAAAAATCAAAACCGACTTCAATTCTGATATAAAAATTTAGGAGGAACGTTAATTTTTTCATGATCCCATGAGCGGATCTAAACCAGATTAGTATGGGACCACGTCTGAGACACCACCTTTCCGATGCAAAAAGAATTATCGGTTAACGTGGTCCAAAGTTATGCGGTAATATACAAACAAAAAAAAATATATATTCCGACGAACTGATTACCTCCTCCTTTTTTGGAAGTCGTTTAAAAAGTGTCGTTGAGTGAGGATATCCTCAGCACCACCACCAGCATTGATGACGGCGGGCGATAGTGCTTGCCATAAAGTTGACTTTGATGGTTGTAGTGGCGAAAGAAGATGACTGAGTTCGTGCTGATGTTGCTGTTGATGAAGATGGTGTAGTTGCCGCTGTTATACCCATCACTTTTGCCGCGTGCAACTGGCTTGAGTGCCACTCACTTTTCTGCGTTTGCACTGCTTGAAATAATATATATTTTTTGTTTCTTTTCTAAAAGTATTTTTTTCTTTTTATTATTTACTCACATAATCGTTTCCATGTATGTGCTATTGTATATTTTTCTATTGCAATTGCTTTCCACAATGGCATACAATCGCCGCTTGGTAATCTTCGCGTGCTTGTGCACGCCTAAATAGCGTCAAGTTAACAACAATTAACTTGCGCCTTTTTTCTCATTTATCAATTCCGATTTTCACTTTTCTTTCACTTCTTGTACCTACATAGATATGTACAGCGGCGATAGAAAAAAAGTAACAGAATATTAAAGAAGATAATAGTTTGCCGTAAATCATTAATCAAGTGCTTGTTGTGCGAAATACTGGAAGAGCTGTCAATTCAAAGCAAAAGTCGTTGTCACTAAGCATTGAAAGAAATTTAAATATATCTAGTACGTATATTACCGTGGAATTTAGTTTAACTATTTTGCTTTATTTAATTTAGTTTAAACCAATGTCGATAAATTGCATTTAAATTTATTTGTTTTAATTAAGTTTCGTTGAGTAAATCTTTTTAAAATTAATCACAAATTTTCGCGTCATGCTTTCAGTTTTGGGCCATACGAGAGCAATTTGAAAAGCCACTGACTTTTTGAATTTCCCACGCATTAGTTTTAATATAATACTGTTCCCGTTAACTGCCAACGATTAATAGACTACTGTAATATTTTAACCAGGCTCCGCCATTTAGTTTGTGTTTGACAGCCACTGAAAGCAGCCAACCTCATGGATTTGAACGAAAATAGAAAAAGTGAGTTTCATGTGCTCATTAAGCATTATTTTTTGCGTAAAAAAATCTGGTAACAAGAAATTATTTACTACGGGGATTCCTATTTAAACGTAGAATACGTGGTGTGGTTAACAGCATATACAAGTCAACACCGAAAGCACACATTAAGAAAAAAATATCGATAACAGAAGCGATAATAGTATCGATAACAAAATCGATAATAATGTCGATAGCAAAATCGATAAAAATATCGATAACAAAATAGATGAAAATATCGATAATAAAATCTATAACAAAATCGATTACTAAATCAATATAAAAGCTATTACAAAATCAATAACAAAATCGATTAAAATTATCGTTTATTATAAAGATAAGTTCCGAAAATATCGATAGCAAAATCAATAACATATCCATGAAAATTTCGATAACAAAATCTTTAAAAACTATCGATAATAAAACCGATTATTATATCGATAAGCCCCGAGAACTTCGAAAATCTCTAAAATTCCGAAATAGTTCTCAGATTGAGTCTGTCTTATATCCTTTTCTCTATAATTACCTCTGATTTAATCTTTCTTCCTCTATCTTCATCTTAATTTTTATCGGTATCCTCATTCTCATATTTTTCTTTATATTTACCTTTGTTTTTAATTTCTATGTTTATTTATTCTTCATCCACATATTTGTCTTCACCTTTGCCCTTATATATATGTAAGTAAAGTGTTTAAATTTACCTACGTTACTACTAGTTGCTAGAGCAATTTAAAGGCCTAAAATTGACCCCAATAAGTTAGGTGGCTCTTCCGTTTCCACAAATGAAGTTGAGCTGACATGTGCTTCAGTGTTGGTTTTAAAGTACGGGCTGGTCCTAGCTGTCTGATGTTCAAGCTTTAGAAGTTTTCTAAGCGGAAATATCTATTGCTTCTATTGTTTTTCGATCCATTTACTAGTCCCCAGTTTAGCTTGAGCTGACTCCAAACTTTTCGCTGTACCCGATGATAACCAATCTTTCTCCCTCCCTAGATGGTAATACCTTACCTTGGTCTTCAATAACTTTTATCCGAGCTCCTAGCTATTTTATCGCTTGCATCGTTCTACAACTCCACGGATCCACAGTCGTCACGGGAAACTTATGTAGACAGCTCTGTAATTAGCCACTGTCTCTACATAAAGATGGCGGATCTAATTTATCCTGCTTCACTTGTGGCACTACTTTTGCGCGGTTTAGACCTTGTCTCTCTTATTGCGTTCATCTATGTATGACGCCAGTCTACAGACTCCGGTCCTTATGGTCTTTAAGACTGCCGTAACTATGACTTTCTCTACCCCTCGTTAGTGATCGGCGTCTTAGAATATCCTCGAACTTTATAGTATGCAGAGTGATTTTTTTTGCTAAAAACAAAAATTCTGATTTTCACAAATAACTAAAATTTTCTAGGACACCCTAATATACAGACATTGTACACATGTATTATACTCACTGGTGTTGTAAATGTCAGCACGTTCTACTTGCTATGCGACATATTCGCGACTATTAAAATTTTGTGCAGCTGTCGCAGAACCGGAATTTACTCGTACGAATGTATCAGTAATTTACGAATTATTGCAATTTCTGTTTAAGGAGATTTAATCAAGCTGCTTTAAATCGTCAATGCCTACGTATTTCATTGCCCATTGTCCACGATTTCACGCTGATATTGATATGAAAAGTGAGATTTCAGTTAGTTTAAGTAAATTTATCAAAATGCTGCAGCTTAGCCAAAATGTTCGCATGCATGCAAAACAAAGTTTGACTAGTATCTAAAGAGAGTAGGCATAGACTAATTTTCTTGGGTCCAATTGCAAATTGGAGTCTCGATATATTGGCATTATGGATAGAGTGGTTAAGTGCTTAGCAAACCTGAGCTTCTCGGTTCGAATGTCATCGTGCAACAAGTCTCTTTACATCCACGTACGGCTATAAAAGCTAAATATAAAGACAATAAAGATTAAGGATAAAATTAAGATTGAGATTAAGATGGAGTTTAAGATTAAGTTTGAGATTTAACTAAGATTATGGTTAAAATAATTACCATTCCGAGGTACGACTGATGTTAGACTGATGTTGGTCAGACCAGGGATTGAATCCAAGTCCTACGGAGTGGTAGTGCGCACCTCTAACTACTTAGCCACAGCGGCCGTTATCCCTTACCAAAAAAAGACCTTTTCCAAAGGTCATTAAAATAAGCGTTTATATCACGGATGACCTCTTCATTGCTTCAATTTCTTTTCGTCGAGCGGATTCTTTAGGTTGCGAAAGTAATTTTCGGAGGGAGCTAAAACAATAGCCTGTTAACAATATATTGTAGTTTATAAGAGCAGTGTAGCATTTAAAGTTACTACGCTGGAAATTCAAAAGGTAACTAACATATCAAACTGCCCTCGTACTAAATATGTACGCGTCAATATGACGGATATATTTATAAATAAATGAACTTAAAGCTCGGAACACTTTGACGACTGCAACTTCACGACGTAACGACAGCGACATCATTTTGTCGACAAATGTCGCCTTGAAGCCAGCTTCTTAAACATTTTGAAGACCTCAGCGACATAGCAAATAGCTGATTTTAAAGTTTGACATTTTGGTATATTTATTTCACAAATTGTGTATTTTTATTTAAGTAAATAAGAAAAACATGAACAATCAAGAATATGTGATTAATTTTGCAGCACTACATCTACTCATTGTCGCCGGCAAAATTAGAAATAGATTTAATTTGGCGACGTCGACAATTGCAGTCCTGCAGCCAAGATGTCGTGCTGTCGTCAAAATAATTGTGTCCGTAAGAACGTGTGTATTTAAAATTTGACAGATGCTGCTTGTCGCTTGCTGTCGTCAAAGCGTTCCGAGCTTAAGGCTCAAGGCACCCTTAAAAATCCGAAAATTTACTTCAGTCAAGTTTAGCAATATGTTCATACATTCATATATGTATGGCGGCAAGTGTCTGTGTATGGTTGCCATTCGTCTCCTGACGGTTCCTTGAAAGCAAATACAAATGCTTCGTATCATTGCTTCAATGCACCCAGCTGAAGTGCGACATGGAAATGTGATTTATTTTATTTACTTTCTGTTTGGATTTTGCTGTTATTTTCTGACAAACATCTGCTCTTTTTTTCAAGACTATGACTAGTCTTCGCTGCGACGTGTTTTTCGCTTTTTTGAAGCGTTCTTCACTCGTACCAAAGTGCTCCCTTGTGAACACCCTCACTTCACTTTCTCAACAGTGTTGTAATTGATACTTAGTAAAGTATCCTCTCTCTGTTGTTACAGCAGTGCGTGTCTGCGGCGTCGTTGTCATAATTGCTGTCGTTTTCATTTGTGGGATTTAGATTGCACAGGAAATGCATTAATATGTAATGCACCACATAGCATTTACTTAAAGATATTGCATTTCATATGCATCCATATAGCTTCCGCGAATACATATGTACATATCCCAGCTAGCATTTAGATGATTGTTTGATGATTTAGGAGATATTCAAGTTGCTTGCGAGTTTTAGAAATAGTGTTTGAGGATGATTCTTTTTGGCAACGAATAGGGTGATACTTTACAGATTATCGTTAACATACAAAACCAAAAACTAACTAACTACATGCTTA